CTTCGTATTTTTTTGCCGCGGAATTCAAATCGCGATTATCTCGACTTTTTCAAAAAAAGCTGTGGTCATGTTTTAGCGCGCTCGGGCTCACTTCATGGCACAACCTATTTACTATTCAGGGCTATCCATTGCTGTTACTCTATTCTTACTTGCATGAAAAATACAATCACCCCTTTCAGTCGAACTTCTCCATTTTCTTCTTTGTTCAGTCTCTGACTCGATGGATGTGTACATGCGTGAACGTGCATGTGTCACTGTGCATGCATATGCACTGTTATTATTCTGAAACAGATCAGAGGTCGTCTATAGTGAAGTTCATCATCGAATGTGAATATAATCACACGGCCCCGAGTTTCATTAAAAGTGTCATACGAAATCTCCGCAATCTCCTTGGTGATGGGAGCATCCACGCCGACAGCGTGCACGGCGAGAGCGGAGGCACAGCATTGTTTGTACAGATGTCTGCCAAGGCTCATACAAGGCTCTGGGAGTTCTGTAAGGATCAATCTAGCCTGCTCGCTGGTCTGCACATTCTCGAAGTGTCAACTGTGGACGGAGCTGTAGTCTTCAATTTCCGTCCCACGACATGCAGTGGCGAAGGTACGACGGATTGGTGCTGTAGGAAATAGGAATGCATCGATAGAAGCCAGTTAATTCCTAAGCCTTGGCTCAATGATGATAGGGAGGTCATCACTAGTCAACAGACGACTGGCTGTAGTGTGGGAAAGTGGTTGCTGCATGCACATTTCGGTCCATAATGTTTGTCCGCAAACAAGTTTTCAAGGAGACCCTTTTGACAGAACCAAGTAGTGTTTACAACCAAACAGCTTCCTTGATTTGCTTCAATTTACCTCTGGAGCAAAAGGTCCGAAACTCTTTGTTTTCTTGTTCAGGCATTACTCCTGATGACCAGAAGCGCTTGGTTGAAGAGTTCTCCAAGAGATATCCATCCTTGGACCGAGATCAGCTGTCTGTTGCTGTGGCTGACCAACAGAACGTTCAGCATGCAGTGATTGCACTGACCAAGCTCGGCTTCGATGATGACGGAGCATGCTTGAATGCACTGCCTGAGATTCTAAGTGGTGAGTTTCAATACCATTGTTTTGTGGTTGTGTTGCGTGTACTGTGTCCATTGGCCCTGCTGTCACTGTTGCGAACCGGTGTGCATCAGCGATAATATTTACATGGTGTTATAAAAGCACAAATGCCGTATCAATTTGGCAATGTCACTGGGACACAATGAAGAGAAACAGTGCGTATTGCCGCATCGGAATAATCGGAGGACGGTTTGGTGCATGTATTGATGAACTTGTGGTCCTTCAGAAAAGCCTCCCTTTGTACTGAACCTCCCGAGGCCATTGTGCTGCAAGTAGAATTTTCAGCAAGTCTGTGGAGGGTATTCCCCTATAAAGGTGATGTGTGTGCGTGGGGAGGGGGGGGAGGGAGGGAGGAGGGGAGGGGGAGGGAGGAGGGGAGGGGGGGGGGGAGGGAGGGAGGAGGGGAGGGGGGGGACATATGAATCTCTTGCATCTTAGCACCAGCAACGTTACTCGCTGTTATGCGGGATTCACAGAAGCATTTTTACGATGCAGTGCGCAGTGCGACATCCGCGAAATTAGGATATTCCCAAAACGCACCGATCGCACAGCTCACTCAGCCGTCACAACTGGCCCATCGCAGAAGTAGAGCTTGCCACTGCTTGGCTCAACTTCTGCCATGTGACATGCGATGTGATGTACAATTTTGACCTTTGCAAGAAAGTTGTACGAAAGGTTCAAGAGTTGCTTGCAGATTTGTACAAGTTGTACCCGACTACACAAATGCCACAATGACGTACGCATTTGCTTTGAGCTTTGAGGCATGTCAGCAAGGCGCTGTCTACTTCTGTGAATGGTAATTTGTGAGTATCCATCGTACTGCGGTGTCGGAGATCGCGTTGTATTGCCCATAGGCTATGGGCAATACAACCCGATCTGCGACACCGCAATGCGATGCATACTCACAAAACAAAATGCAATGCTATGGGCCATAGCATTGCAAGAACGCTTCTGCGTATGCCACCTAATATGTAAGGAGAACAAGTGACCATGCAGTCGTAAAATTATGCTTTGCCTTTCCTGTTGCGGTCTTTTATAGGTGTGTCGGCAAAAAAGACAACTTCTTTCCCTGCTTACGTTCACCGTACGTACAACAATATGGCTGTGACGAAGCCTTGGTCCATCAAAATGCACAATGCACATGAATCTCTTGCATCTAAGGGCCGGGTTCTACTGCGGCTCCGCTGCTCATCATCCGCGGTTTGAAACATCATCATTACCATAGTGACCGCGGCTCGAGCTAGAGCAGCGAGGCCGCGGCTCCTTGCGAGCTTTCGCTACGAATCTTGATCAAAAACTGCAGGCCGCGGTCGGGGCTCGACCAGTTTCCCGTACTTTGCATTGTTTTGCACGCGAAAATTTTAAAATTCAAATTTCAATTCGTTGCGCAGGCCAGAACACGAGGATTTTTTGATTTCGCGCTCACAGGCAGGTGAGACGTCATCAAAAAACGTGGAGCACGACGGCGGTACTGCGAATGGCGAGTGTCAGTGTAACCGCGCTGCTCCGCTGCATGCAGCCAAAACACGCGGAGCAGCGGAGCCGCAGTGGAACCCAGCCCTTAGCACCAGCAACGTCACTCGCTGTAATGCGGGATTCACAGAAGCATTTTTACGATGCGGTGCGCGATGCGACAGCCACGAAACCAGGAAATTCCCAAACGCACCGATCGCACAGCTCACTCAGCCGTCGCATCTGGCCCATCTCAGAAGTTGAGCTTGCCACTGCTTGGCCCAACTTTCGTGATGCTACATGCGATGCGATGTACGATTTTGACCTTTGCAACAAAGTTGTACGAAATGTTCAAGAGTCGCTTGCAGATTTGTATAAGTTGTACCCGACTACACAAATGCCACAGTAACGTACGCATTTGCTTTGAGCTTTGAGGCACATCAGCAAGGCGTCGTCTACTTCTGTTATTGGTAATTTGTGAGTATGCATCGCACTGCGGTGTAGCAGGCCATGTTGTATCGCGCATAGCATTGCAAGAATGCTTCTACGAATGCCACCTAAGATGTAAGGAGAACAAGTGACCCTGCAGTCGTAAAATTATGCTTTGCCTCTCCTCTTGCGGTCTTTCTTAGGTGTAGTGGCAAGGAAGGCAACTTCGACCTCTGCTCACGTTGTCCGTAAGTGCACCAATATGGCTGTGATGAAACCTTGGTCCATCACAATGCACGCGTGTACATAATGTGTGTGTGTGTGTGTGTGTGTGTGTGTGTGTGTGTGTGTGTGTGTGTGTGTGTGTGCATGTGTGTGTGTGTGCGTGCGTGCTTGCGTGCGTGTGTGTGTGTGTGTATGTGTGTATGTGTGTGTGTGTGTGTTCGCTAGGCATAATAAACGTGCTGTTCTTTCTGGCCTCCCTCATGTCGCTCCGGTGGGAATTTCACAGGACCGTCAAATAATCTTGGTTTTTCATTTACATTGTAGTTTCAAGAAAGTGGCACCTCCGAATGTTGCAGCTGCTGCTTTCTGCCGAATAACTGACACTTGGCTGACCAACAAGTGCTGCCGTCTGGAGCACACGAGCAGCACGTTGAGCAAGGAGTGGTACTTTCTTGCAGGTTTGCCGAGTGGAAGGTTCGACGTGCTCCTGGTATGCTTAAGACGGCTATCGTGTGTCAGTCAAGTGTCAAGTCACTCGGCAGGAACGCCAACACTTGGGTCTGTCACAAACAGAATTTTCGAGCAAGAGAATTCAGAATGTTGTGTTCCTCAAAAAAGCGATATTATCATCACAGTACGGAATAGTGGTAGCAACATCGGGACAGTGGAGAGAAATGCCTCAGGCTTGAATCTGTTTTCCTGCCATTCTTTTTCATTTCTTATTTTGTCTCCTTTCTTGCAGATCCTGAAGAGGCCATTTCAACCCATGTCTCTGCCAATTCTGAACATGCAGTAGAAATCCAGGGAGTTGACAATGAGCTTTCTCTCCGGCCGCAGCTTAAGTCCCAGGTAAGAAGAGACCAGATGCAAACATCATAGGTAACGCAAGGAAAGATTTAGGTCTGGTCCTGTTAGGTGGGGGGGGGGGGGGGGGAGGGACATGTACCCCTTGAAACATTTGACGTGGAGTATGGTGCGCTCTTGTATTTCATTAAAATTTGAGAAATAGAAATTTAACCCATTCAGTGCCAAGGACGAGATTACTCGTCCTACAGACCCCCACGCGATTGGCCAAGGACGAGATATCTCGTCCTCGTAGTGCGCACTACTATATCTCACTGGCCATGCACTACGATCTAGCTTGGCCGATTGTGGCTCTTCGAGGGGAAACTAGCGGTTTTCCCCTACTGAATAAGACCTCACTCGCCGTGTTTGAGTAAGTATGGGCACGGGAGCATACATTCAAAGCGCGAGCGCAAAAAAGATTTTTCGATTCAGAAACAATTAGATTGATAGAACGTACTTTAGGTCTCTCTAGCTGTCACTCAGACACGGCGAGTCGCCGCATGCCGGCTGAAGAGGTGCTCCAGTCCATCATGGACTCAGACAGTGATGACTGGAGCTGCGATAGTGAAGGCGATGACTCGGATGCGGACATAGCCGTCCGCGATCGTGACGGAACAAATTTCGCGGACGAGTCTGCCTTAGTCGATGTCGTACCTACTGCTGTGGTCGCCTTGGACGGCCCTGAGGATATCGGAGATGTCGATGTCGAGCTTGAACAGGGCACAGCAGCACAATCTACGCCAGCGGAGGACAACAAGTCGGTTTGAGTTGATACGACTAATTTGAAAAAATCAGATTTTTGATGAAAATGGCACGGCCAACCGCGTGCATCTGGCCTGGCACTGAAATGGATAATGCCCATCCCTGTGCACCCCATGTACTGTTGAGAAAAAAATGATAAAGACCAACCAACCAAAACACCCCCCCCCCACCCCCCTCCAGCTCCTCCTC